CCCTTAACCTACTGATTCAGAGGCGAGTGTTAACCACTGAGTCAGCACTTAAATTTATCTGAAACAGGATAAGTAAGATTATAAGAATTGGCAGGAACATTTTTACACTCCATTGACCCCCCTGCTTGTTGACCCACATTGGTTCCTGCTCCAGTTGTGACTCAATTTTAAACTGCTTGACGTTTTGTTCAAATCTTTTCATGATCTCACTTCTCCCTATCTCAGGAACCTTCTCCAGCCCTGCAACTCTCCTAGATCTCTAATTTAGTTTTTGGCATCTTGCACATAGAGTATGGAAACGGACCCTTTAATCCAACCAATCCACGCTGAACATAATCCCAAACTAAACTAGTCCCACCTGCTCCTTGCCCATATCCCTCCAAACCTTTCCTATTCATGTTCTTATCTAAGTGTCTTTTAAACATTGTAACTGTGCCCACTTCCTCTGGAAGTTCATTCTGCACACGAACCCATCCTCTTTTTAAAAAATTTTGCCTTTCATGTCTTTTTTAAATCTTTCTCCTCTCACCTTAAAAATATGTCCCCTACTCTTGAAATCCTCCAACCTAGGGAAAAGATACCTACCGTTAACCCTATCTATACCCCTCATGACTTTATGTCGACTTTGACCACACCGTCCTTAGCACCATGCCTTTTAGTTGCTTGGGCCTGCAGCACTGGAATTCCCTCCCTGAACCTGAATTTTCATCATACGTTTCTTCTTTAAGACTCTTTGCGTTGCAAAAGCTTTGTTGCAAGTGCAGAGGGCGTACTCACAGCCCATGGAATAGCCATGCCTATGATGTTATTGACAAGTGGAGTAGCGGAGGAGAGTAGGGATGGAGAGGCGAGCGGAGGGGAGGAGCTAGGTGCCAGGGCTGCGAGCAGAGTGAGGGGGGTCAAGATTTCTCTGGCATCGGTGATGTTAACCACATGTGCAAAACCCATCCTCTGTTGCGGCAACGTGACATCTCTGTTGCCACCTGTGCCAAGTTGGACATTGGCAACACGTTCTGCTCTTTGTGTTACATTTATTTTTACACCATTTCCAGTGAAGTACCTTAGAGTAATAAAGGTGCTGTATAAATGCAAGCTGTTAAACTTCAGTTAGTGACAATTTGGGTGCGAACAGTCGTGACGATGGACAGTGACTGTATCGAAAGCAAAATACACTTGAATGTTCATATCTTCTATTTGCTCAGTATTGTCAGCGATTTTGTACACTTTCTTTTCAAAAACGGATTTGGGTTTGACATTCAAATCCTTGCTTGCGTGAACAACTTTATTCACAATTCATTGCTGTTAACTCGAAGAGCCAGTGAGCTTCAAACCCCTGGGGTGAATTAATGAGAAGTTTTAGTCCTCACAGCTGACCTTTAGTGCCCTCTTTTGGGGCCTCGTTTATCCCTTTTTAGGGAGTAAGATGAGTCAGCCATATCCAGACAAAAGATGTGTTTTTTATACTTGAGCAAAGATTAAGAACAACAGCAGCTTTATTGAATTTATCACTTAAGGAAATTCCCCAATGAATTGGATTTTCTGTCCTATTTCCTTGACAGTATCCTCCTCTGTGATGGTGTAATGTGGAACTTGTTACCTCAAGGGAATGGCTGAGGTGAATGGTGTAGATGCCTTTAGGGGAGGTTACATAAGCACAGGGGAGGAAAGACTAGGGTGTGATGAAGTAACCTGGCAGAAAGCTCACTTAACAAACACCAGCATGAACCAGATGGGCCAAATGGCCTGTTCTCATCTGAAAATTTGCATAAACTGTCAACTCTGGCTCAGTTGGTAGCACTGCTGCCTCCGAGTCACACAGTTGTGCGTTCAACCTTCTCTCAACCAAAAAAAAATAGAAATACTGAGGGAGTGCTGCACTGTTGGAGGCACTGCCTTTCGGAAGGGATGTTAAACTGAAGTCCCATCTGCCTATCATCTGGGTGTAAAATATTAAACAGCACTAACCCAAAGAACAGCAGGGGAGTTTTCAGCAGTGTTTCTACCAATATTTATCTCTCTTAAAAATAGATTAGGCGGTCCTCACTGCATTTGTTTGTGGTAGTTTGCTCATGTAGGAATTTCTGCCAATTCACATTACAGCAGTGACTACGCACAAAGGTACTTTGTTGCTGCAAAGCTATTGTGAAAAGCATTATACTAAATGTGAGTTTTCCTTTGTTATTTTGAGTCAGATGGGATCCACTGAGAGTTGGTAAGCTGGATACAAAACTGGTTTCATTATAGAAGACAGAGGGTAGCAGCAGAGGGGTGTTTTTTTTTCTGACTGGAAGTCTGTGACCAATAGTGTTCTGCAAGCACCTGTGCTTGAGACCTCTCTTGTCTGTAATCAAAATATACAGCTATAAATGATTTTTGATAAATACGTAGCTTTTTGTAGTCTGCACTGAGAAGGAAAACCTAGTAAAATTTATGAATGACACATACTGCTCTGAAGAGAGCTCCAGCATAACCGTGAAGTTAATTTTTGAGAATTACTGTTTCCTCCCTCTGGGGCAGTTGCTGGATGGTTTTGAGATAGCACCATCCCTGATCATAAATGCGTTTAATGTACCCAGCTGATTTTTGAATGAATTGTCAAATGTGACATCCATTGCACAAGGAAACCAAAGCCTGGGGATTGAAACTATTTCATGTTCCCTGTGCAAAATTGGTTTCATATATCCAGCTGGCATTAAGTTGCTGCACTAGATTCTTGGAGATTGTCCCATGACTTCCCAACACTCTCTGTTCCATTGGTTACCTGACATGTCTATCTAAGAGAGCTTTATTTCTGACTGTCCTCTAGTTTCAGTCTTTCAATACAGCTGATAAATGTGTTTGACCAAAAAAGTCAATTTATCTATTGACTTAGACTTTGCTCTTGATTTTTTTTTTGCCAGCATAATCTCAGTATTGGTGACCATACAGTCATAGTTCCAGAGGGCTGTTCACTCATTAGAGAGAGACGGCAGGTTTAACCTGAGTTTGAGACGCGTCCAGAGCAACTCCATGACGCAGGGCTATTCCCTGGGACGCAGACCGAGACAAAGATTGTGTGGCTGGAGGACTGTCAACTTGGTGAAAGCCACTCTGGTCTGCCTGAAACTGCCAGAACAAGGCAAATTCTAAGGTCCAGGACTATGTGCTGAGGGATGCACTAAAGCTTGGGGCAGCTACTGCCATTGGTACAGTGGGGAAAGACCACTGTCTAAGGTCTTTCTGCTAAGGTTAAATGGGAGTCTGTTTAGTTATCAGACCCTCCTGATGCCTCAAATATATCTAAACATAGTCTTGTATAAGTAAGAATTTTTTCACGGTAACCTTAACAACTAATGTATAAGTAAGAAGTGTATTTGGTTTGTTTGTTTGTTTCTCCATATGCTACTGTACAGAACTGAACTGTGTTAGTGACTATGTATATAAAGATATTTTTTATGAATAAAGTATACTTTTGAAATAAAAGGGTCACCAGCCCTTGGGGAAGGACAGAGGTTGAGAAGGTGAGTCCTTTGTGGTTCTGATGAAGGGTCACTGGATCTGAAACATTAACTCTGCTTTCTCTCTAAAGATGCTGCCAGCCGTGCTGAGTTTTCCAGCAGTTTCTGTTTTTGTTTTTGTTTCTGATTTCCAGCATTGGTAGTTTTTTTCATGGTAACCTGGTGACCATAACAACTCATGTTGATCATCATAAAAATGCATCTGGCTCACTAATATCCTTCAGGGAAGGAAATCTGCCATCCTTACCTGTCCGGCCTGTATGAGACTCCAGGCCTACAGCAAGATAGTTGATCCTGAACTGTCCTCTGATAGGCCACTCAGTTCAAGAGCAATTAAGGATGGACAACAAATGTTGACCTTCATAGACACCCTCTTCCCGTGTAAGAATAAATAAATAAATATTATCCTGGAGATTAGTCTTCAATTACTGAATTCTCCCCATCATTCCTGACGCATTGGCAACCCTAAAACACATCTGTAAAGTGTCAATCCTCAAATGGAGTGCAAGTCACAGCTAGAATTGAACTGTTGCAAATACGGTACTTAACTGCAGCATAACATAGCCACTTTCTTTCTTACATCGTTCAATTCATTAACTGAACTTCTTCATTCCTCACACGGCACTGGTTCCTAAAGTTGATTCCATGTAGGGCTGTAGACTGAATTACAGATGTTTACAGTCCAGGAGGTGGCCATTCACCCTCTGTGCCTGTGCCAGCTCTCTGTTGCAGTTTCTCGGGTAGTCCCACTACTCAGGCTTTTCCTCATAGCCCTCTTAAAGTAGCTGATTTTCATCAGCCTACCCTACCCAACAGACAGCTGTACTAGATGCAAATTATGAAGCTTTCACAGCTCAGAAACAGAGCGTTTGGCTCAACCAGTCCATGTTTACGGTCCACACAAGCCTCTCCCTTCCTCATTCAACTATTAACATATCTTTCCATTGCTTTCTCCTTCATGTGTTTATCTACTTTCCCCTGGAATGTATCTATTGTTCTCTTCAACTGCTGTCTGGTAGTGTGTTTCACTTTTTTGCCAAGCTCTGGGTATAGAACTTCAGAATTCCGTGTTGGATTTTATTTTTTCATGACTGCCTTATATTAATAGCCTCTATTTTGTTCTTCTCAGGTTTAGCAAAGTGGCATACCTTTGCCCAGGCCTATTCTCTGATGAATGTTTGGTTGATTCCATGTTATTGGTTTCCCCAACAAGAACTTGTATTTATGTAGCATCATTCATGTAATAAGAGATCCCAAAATGCTTTGCAACAGGGTATTTAAAGAAAAACTTGTCAGTGGGATACAGAGCTCAGGTGACCATACGCTTTGCAAATGTTGTATGGTTGAGAAAAGTGCCATATAAATGCAATTCTTTCTCTTTTTAGCAGTATTGCTATTTCTTTAAAGGAAACTGGTGAACCTCAATTGATTTCCTAGGCTTATGTTTTCATTTTTTTCCCTCATCAATATTATAATCTGATTTTTTTTTTTAACCTCCTCTAGGGAAAATGAACACTGTGTTTGTGTATGGCACTCTCAAGAAGGGTCAACCCAACCATCATTACATGATCGATGGCTCAAAGGGGTCTGGAATGTACTATGGCAAGGGACGTACTCAACAGAAATATCCACTGGTGATTGCAGGGAAGAATAACATTCCGTTTTTGCTCAACCTGCCAACTATAGGACACAAAATATTGGGAGAGATTTACTTAGTCGATGACCAACTGCTCGAGTTCCTCGATGAGTTTGAAAATTGCCCAGATGTTTACCAGCGCAACTCTGTCAGAGTCCAGGTACTAGAGTGGGACAATAAAGACAGCAAACCGGATGTTAAACCAGATGAAGATGGAACATTAATGTGTTTTCTGTACAACACTAAATTCTACGAAGAAGATTGGTTGAATCTTCCTTACTACGATGACTATGACCCCTTTGGGAACCATGAACAACCAAAGTATATCCTACGTGAGGCTAGATAACTGTAAAAGTTCATAGCTGAACAGCAAGAAATTCTATGCATTAAATTTTGAAAAGTCATCCTGAATTCTTGGATTGATACTTTAAAGCCATTTACGTGAAGAATTTATGATCGGAATTATGATCTTTTTGTTTCAACAATTTCTGTAGTTCATTAAATTCTATTCCAATGCACATCTGTGACTGTTAATTTATTCACTGCTAACTGAGAATTATACAGATAGAGTTTGTGTATTTCTGCATATTGCTAATGGACTCACCTTATCTCAGGCTAGTGATGTTGGAGACTTGCTGGGCACTATTTCATGTTTGGGAATAAATTCATGTTTCAACTGGTTCAAAATCCTAGAAATCCCACCCTAAGGGCACTGTGGGTCAACCTACAGCACATAGACTGCAGCGGTTCATAGAAGGCAGCTTGCCACCACCATCTCAAGGGCAGCTAGGAATGGGCAATAAATGCTGGCCAGTCAGCGATGCCCGCATCCCTTGAGTGAATAAAAAAAACTGATGCGTTGGCAGCAACAACTGTAAAATTCACAGCTCCGACTCAAATTTGTTGGTTCAAGTCCCACGCCAGAGACCTGTGCATTTAACGTAAGAAAATAGAGGTAGGCCATTCAGTAACTGCAACTCCTGTTTTGTGCTAGCTTCACATAGTCCTCAACTTCCTGACATTTCAAAAAGCCGTTTGCCTCCTCAACTCTCCTCCTCACAGTGTACCTGGAATCAATCAAAATGACTTTTTCCAACCGTCGCTTGCCTATGAACTACAATTATTTTGGCATTTTTACAAAATGAAGAATAATTTTCTTTTCTGAAAGTTCCACCTGCTTCTTGAGCTAAGAGAGCAGCATCCTGGTATAAGTGTTAAAGTTGCTCTTGTGAAAGTCCCAGAATTGCAGCAATGATGTGGTTTTTGTGTCATTCAAATATTTGGCTGAGACTTGTTAATTCAGTACAATGAATTACTGTAACTTCTTCCTGAGCAGGGATAGTCAAGTGAGTGTGATTGTTTTTTTTTCCAGACTGTGAGGGTTCTGTTCTGTAAAAGTGACACACCCTTATCAGTTTACAAACTCCACATACCATCGCCCTCCTGTCTATCCTCTCCTATACCATTCTCAATTCCTCAACCATCCTTCCACCTTCCCTAACCTCTTTTTTTCCAACTTCTCCCCTTCACCAACACTCTTCCTATTCTCTTCTCTCTCCTACTACCCTCTCTTTCCCACCTACCATTCCGTTCTATTCTGCCTCCTTTGTCCTCTTTCTGTACCTTCCGTTCTTCATTTCTTCCCTCCCACCTAATTGCTGGGCCTTCCCTCCCCCTTTCACAATCTCTAATTCCATGCCCCCCTCCGCCACATTCACCCCTTTGAAGGCTATTTTCTCAACATAGAGTCATACAACACAGAGAAAGTCCATATGGTCCATTGCACTTTTCCTAGCAATTTGTAAGAGCTATCCAATTTCTCCTAATGCCTTGCTTTTTGTCCCCCCATAGCATTTATTTTTCCTTTGAGTATTTATGCAGTTCCCTTTTGAAAGTCATCATTAAATCTGTTTCCATAGGCAACACATATCAGATCACAACTCAGCACTTACCACAAATCTGCACCTTCTAGTTACTGACCCTCAGCAGTGGAAATTTCCATGATTTCTATCAATAAGTTCAACAAAATATGATACCTGACACACTCCTCCACCACCTCCTTCCCCACCCTCACTGCCAATTAGGTGCAAGAGAAAACAGACAGCAATGTTTGAAAAGCATTTTACTTATTTTGAAAAAAACATGGATCAATAAATGTGAGGAAGTTGGAGGTGTAACCGTAAAATGTCCATTAATTTTCCTTTGAAACTGGTGATAATGTTCCTCCTCAATTAAGGTCAAATATTTTGATTAGCAGCTCAGTATCATAGTACATTTCCATACCACTGAGCTAGGGAAAACTTCAAAATTTAGCAATGCTGCCAGTTCTACACATGGGGAATAGTTAGTGTTCCTGTTCTGCAAAAATAACAGTAAATATTACTGAAGTTGTAAAAAGAAAATCCATACAGGAATGTCTACCAGATTTTTACAGTGAGGAGTTACAATCGAAAATCCATGTACATGATATGAGATAAAACTTATAAAATGCTCCTCTGTAGAATACACATCACTCAAATTCAATAAGAATATCTCCTTCTCCAACTGTGTCTCCTGGCTTGCAGTGTACCTTCATTACCTAAACAAAGTCAAGAACAAGAAACATATTTACAGTCATATATAGGTAACATGGTAACCAACAACTGATGTAATGCTTATCTGGAAACAGGAAGGAGCAAAATAATTTCTGCAGCACTGGATCCAATTACAACTATTTTTCCAATAATTGATCCTACACAAAGTTCAATTTTAATTTCTAAGGTATTAACATTTATTGTAATTTACTTGTTCATATTACAGCTATACAAAAGCCCTGGGTTTGATCACACCAGAGCAACTGAGCCATTCGAGACACCACACCATTGTGACCTTGGAGGGTGTGCAGGTTGGATTTACTGGAATAATACCTGGACTCCAACAGTTAAATTACAAGGAGAAATCACATCAACTAGGGTCATATTCCCTGGAATTTCAAATTTTTCAACTTATTGGGACAAAAACTAAAATCACAAGGGTTTCGGGGTGACCTGGCTAGATGGATAGAAAACTGGCTTGGTCATAGAAGACAGAGGGTAGTGGTGGGAAGATGTTTTTCAGAATGGGGACCGGTAACTAGTGCTGCTCCACAGGGGTCAGTCTTAAATCCTTTGTTGTTTGTAGTATATATAAATGATCTGGAGGAAAATGTGGGTGGTCTGTAAGCAAGTTTGCTGATGACAGGAAGGTTGGTAGAGTTGCTGATCGTGCCAATAACTGTGAAAGTATACAACAGCATATAGATAGATTGGCAACTTGGGTACAGAAATAGCAGATGGACTTTAATCCAGACAAATGCGAGGTGATGAATTTTGGAGGATCAAATTTAGGTGTGAATTATATTGTAAATGGCAGAACCCTTAGGAACATTAACATACAAATGGATCTGGGTGTGCAGATCCAAACAGTTCTCTGCAAGTGGCGACACAGGTACCCAAGGTGCTTAAGAAGGCATATGGCATGCTTGCCTTCATTGCCTGGGGCATGAAGTATATGAGTTGGCAAAACTATTTGCATCTATATAAAACCCTTGTTAGGCCGCATTTGGAGTATTGTGTGCAGTTTTAGTCACCACACTACCAAAAGGATGTTGAAGCTTTGGAGAGAGTACAGAGAAAGTTCACCAGAATGTTGGCTGGTCTCCAGGGCATTGACTATGAGGAAAGGTTAAAAAGACTAGGATTGTTTTCACTGGAAAGACAACAGCCGGGAGGAGACCTGATAGAGGTCTACAAAATTATGAGAGGCATAGATACGGTGGATAGTCAGAGGCTTTTTCCAAGGGTTGAAGTTTCAATTACAAGGGGACACAGGTTCAAGGTCAGAGGGGGAAAGTTTAAGGGAGATGTGAGAGGGAAGATTTTCACGCAGAGTGGTAGCAGCCTGGAATGCACTGCCAGAAGAAGTGGTGGAAGCGGGCACATTGAAGACATTTAAGAGTACATGAATAGGGAGGGAATAGAGGAATACAGATCGAAAAATGGCAGGTTTGTTTTTAGATTAATTAGGGCATGATGGTTGGCGAAGGCTTGGAGGGTCAAAGGGCCTGCTCCTGTGCTGTATTTTTTCATTTGTTCATTAAGGGGAACAGAGTGGGTAGATAAGTAGAAACTAATTCCACTGGTTAGTAAGCCTAGGACTGGACAGCATAATCTAAAAATTAGTTAGACCTTTCACCAAGGGCAGTGGAAGTTTGGAACTCTTCTGAAAATGATTATTAGTGATAACTCCCCATTGTTAATTTTAAATCGAAGATAGACTCTCCTTAGCAAAAGCTATTCAAGGATATGGGTCAGCGGTGTGCCTGTGGAGTTAGGTTGCAGATTAGCCAAAGTCAGCCTCAGTAAATTTCAACAGGGCTACCTCAAGGATCTCCTTGTGTTCCTTCGTTCCACTCTGTTCCTTTATTTTTCCCCTGTCTCTGTACTTGCATACAGCCTGTTAAATCCATAACATGTTCCAGATCATAGACCTAAAAAATTAACTGTTTCTCTCCCCATGGATGCTGCCTGACCTGCTGAATATTTCTGTTTTTATTTCAGATTTTTAGCATCTGTAGTGTTTTGCTTCTCTTTAAATGTTCACCGTGATCCATTTTGCGTTCAAGTTAAACTTCCATTATACGTTTCTCTTCATCTTTGGTCACCTATGAATTTTCACTCATTTATTTACACCAGCAATAGGAATAGAGGCAGGAACCTATTCTAGATGCCCTTTTTTTGGAGATACAGTGACATCAAACTGCACGTTGAGGGTAAAGTATGATCAGAAAGGTGACAATGCAAGGTATAACTAGAGTAACCTTTAGTATAGTGAAGGGTACAGACAGGTGTTTTGTGGCAACAGGCATGACTCCAGGACAGTGTTTTGAAGGGGCTGGGGACAAGGACATCAGTAAACGACTGCAGGGCATTCTGAAGGGGGAATGTGAACAGTCAGAAATTGTGGTCCACATTGGGATAGGATAGAAAGAGCATTCAGAAAGTGCAACAAGAATTTGGGGAAACTAGGTAGCAGATTAAAAGCAGGATCTTAAAAGTTGTAATCTCTGGATTCCTCCCAGTGCCATGTGTTAATGAGTATAGAGATAGATAGATATAACTGATGAATACATGGCTGAAGACTTGGTGCAGGTGGGAGGGCTGTAGATTCTTGGATGACTTGGTCCATTTCTGAGGAAGGTGGGGCCTGTGCAAGTCCAGTGAGTTGCACCTGAACCAGAATGGAACCAACATCCTTGCAGGGATATTTGCTGGTGTGGGTGGTGGGGGTTTAAACCAATTTGGCAGGGCAATAAGATACGTACTGGAGACAATAGTAGGGATGATGCACAAGCAAGTATAGAAGAACCACAAAGACAACGTAGAGGCAGTGCAAATATGGCCAAGTTATGGCAAAAGGGTGCATGGATGGCATCATGCAAGGGGTCTTGTGAGTAGGGCAGAGAAGTTGACAATGTTGGTGCATGGGAATATGATATCAGAGCTATCACAGAGACACGGGTGAGGGAGAGACCAGACTGGCTGCTCAATATTCCAGGATATAGAATCTTCAGTTGAGACAGGACAGGATGTATAAAAGAGGAGGTGGTGTCACAATACTGATCAAAAAGTCAAATATTGCAATAAAAAGGGATAATATTTTAGAAGGCTCCTCAATTGAGGCCATAGAGTTAGAACCTAAAAGCTAAAAGCGTATGGGTATACAATAGAGTCCCAAACAGGAAGACATAGAAAGACAAATATATGGGCAAATCTCAGGAAAGTGTAAAAATAGTGGGGTAATATTAGTAGCGAATTTCAACTTTCCCAATGTTAACTGGGAAAGAAAGTGTGAAAGACTTAGAGAGGGCCAAATTCTTAAAATTGTCCGGGAGAGCTTTTTAAACCATCATGTAGAAAGTCCTACAAAATAGGGGATGGTTTTGGACCTAATTTAAGGGAACAAAACCAGGAAAATGATAGGTGAGTTGGTGGGGGGAACATTTTGGTGACAGTGACCATAACTCAGTAAGATTTAAGGGAATTATGGAAAAGGACAAAGATGGACCTAAAATAAAAGTTCTGAACTAGGACGAAGGCTGATTTTAATATTATTAGACAGGATTTGGTCAAAATGGACTGGGAGCAGCGACTTGCAAGAAAATCCACATCAGAGCAGTGGGAGTCATTCCAAAGGACAATAGTGAGAGTGCAGGCCAACATGTTCCCATAAAGGCGAAGGATGGGGTAAGCAAGTCCAGAGAATCTTTGACGTCAAGGAATGTACAGGATTAGATAAGGAAAAAGAAGGAAAGTTATGGCAGATACCAAGTGTTCAAAACAGTGGATGCATAAGAAGAGAACAGAAAGTACAGGGGTTAACATTAAGGAAAGTTCAAAGGTGTATGCAAGTATACTAGGGGCAAGAGAATAACCAGGAAAAGGGTAGTGCCCATTAAGGACCAACATGGCAATCTGTGAGTGAACCCAGGAAACATTGTTGGAGTTTTAAAAGAGTGATTTGCATCTGTATTCAGCATTGAGAAGGACGATGTAGGTACAGGAAGGGGGACTGCGATGTACTTGAACAAGTTAGCTTTGAGAAGGAGAAGGTATTAGCTTTATTGGTGAGCTTGAAAGTGGATAAATTCTTAGGCTGCTGTGGAAGGCAATGGAGGAGATTGCAGGGGTTCTGACATTAATTTTTAAATCAGTAAGTTTGCAGATTACATGAAAATTGGTGGTATGGTAAACAGCAATGAGGAAAGCTTTAGACTACAGAATGATATAGACAGGCTGGTCAGAGCAGTGGGAACTCGAATTTAATCCTGCAAATTATGAGGTAATGCATTTTGGGAGGATGATAAGGCAGAGGAGAACATGATAAATGGTAGGCCCCTAAAAAGTACAGGATCAGAGGCACCATGGTATGCATTTTCACAGATCTTTGAAGGCAGCAGGAGTGGTGGATAAGGAGGTTAAGAAAACATATAGGATACTCACCTTCATTAGCCAAGATATTGAATACAACAGCAAGTAGGTTATGATGGAGCTGTATATAATGTTGGTTAGGTCACAGCTGGAGTACTGTGTACAGTTCTGGTATAGAGGATAGATGTGATTGTACCAGAGGGAAAAAAAGTCACCAGGATATTGCCTCAGCTGTGAGGAGAGATCAGACAGGCTAGGGTTGTATTCTTAGAGCAGAGAATGCGAGATGGGACCTGACTGATGTGCGCAAAGTTCTGAGGGGCATGGATAGGGTAGATAGGGAGAAAGATTTCCCTGTACCCGGAAGGGTCAATAACCAGGATGCACAGTAAGGAGCAGGAAGTTTAGAGGGGATTTGAGGAAATGGTTTTTCACCAAGAGGGTGGTGAATATCTGGAATTCACTGCCTAAAAGGGTGGGAGAGGCAGAAACCATCAAGGCTTTTAAGAAGTATTTAGATGAGCACTTGAAACACCATAGCATACGACGCTATGGGCGATGTGCTGGAAAATGGGATTAGAACAGATAGATGCTTGATGACTGGTGCAGATATTTTATGCCGAAGGGCCTATTTCTGTGCTGTAAAACTCTATGACTCGAAGTGGCTTATTTAAATTATCTGCTGCATACATCTGATCTGCATTTTTATTTAAAATTTAAGAGATTTCATGCCTCAAAAATTGCAAACTATCCAATACTTGCATGCCAAGTTTTGTTTTACATGAAGGGCGAATCAAAATAATAATTCAAGATGGACTTTTGAAGGTTAACATTTAACCAAAAAAATACTGCAGTACCTAAATTCATAGGCATTACTTTCTCCAACCATTCACCCGTTAACAGATAAATGTTTATAATCAGTTCCAGTAAACATACCTTGCCAGATTTCGCAGCAGCCAAACTGTTCTGCATTTTCATTGCTTCAATCACACAGACCTCCTGACCTTCAGTAACCTGCACAGTTTATGTTTAAAAGAAAATGTTTTATTAAAAACTGAAGATTGATAAAATGTGAGGTTTTCAGCCACAAAGGCCAGCATTTTCACTGTCCCAGAAAGATACATGCAGAAAATGAATTATACACCATGAGAAAAATCATTACAGAAAATGAGCTGAATGCCACCAGGCCAGCTGATACCCTGTTTTTTTTTGTTTAAAAATTAAATTTGAAAGTTAAACCAAGCAGAAAGGTGCCAGGTTTGATGTTTTTGCTGCACTGTTTACTGGCAGCTGCTGCAGGGGTAAAGTGAAAATGATGATTAGTGTCAGCACTTCACTGACCTTCTTATGGGAGAGTATTGCCATCTTAAATACCAGATTCACAAGGATATAAACTGGACAAAATTTGACATCAATAAGGAAACATCAGGACAAAGACCAAAGAAGTCGTTCAAAAGACCAGTTTCTATGGAGCATCTTAATAGATCAGCACACAAACAAGGAGCAATAATAGGCCTCTCGGCCTTTCAGCCTGCTCCACCATTCACTAAGATTGTGGCTGACCTCAATGTTATATTCCTGCATGTCCCCGATAGTCTTTCGTCCCCTGGGTAATCAAGGATCTATTTACCTCTGCTTTAAAGTATTTAAAGATTCTGCACCCAATCATGCCTTTACAAAAGGGAGTTCCAAATTATCACAATCCTGTCAGAGAAAAGTGTTTCCTCAACTCTGTCTTAAATTGGTGATCACCTACTTTTAAGCTATGACCCCTAGTTCTAAATTCTCCTATGAGAGGAAACGTGCTTTTGACATCCACCTGGTCAAGTCTCCTCAGGATCTTAAATGTTTTAAATCGTAACCTTTAATTCTTCTAAACGCCAGAGGACACAGACCTAGCTTGTCTAACTTATCCTCATAAGGCAATCCGCTCATGCCAGATATTAAGTCTAGTAAACCTTCTCTGAGCTGCTTCCAATGCATTAATATCCTTCTATAAGTACAGTGATCAGCAATGTGGACAGTACCCCAAATGTGGTCTCAACAATGCCCTGTATAACTGAAGCATAACTTCCCTACTCTTGCATTCAATTCCTTTTACGATAAACCATAACATTCTATTATCCTTCCCGATTACTTACCGAATGCGTGTTCCAGCCTTCTGTGAATTCATGCATGAGGACACCCAGATCTCTCTGTACCTCGGAGTTATGCAATCTGTCACTGTTTACTTAATATACATCTCGTTATTCTTTCCCACATTATATTCCATTTGTCAGATCTTTGTCCCCTCACTTTATCTATGTCCCTTTATAGATTCCTTATATCCTCTTTGCAAGTCAATTTCCTGCCTATCTTTGTGTCATCAGCAGATTTATCCAGGATACTTTTAGTCCTTTCGTCCAAATCATTTACATAAACAGTAAAGAACTGAGGCCCCAGTACCGATCTCAGCGGCACACCACTCATGACATCATCCCAGCCTGAAAAAGACCCATTTATTTCTACAGTCTGCTTGCTGTTAGCAACCAATCTTCTATCCTTGCCAATGTGTTACTCCCTACACTGTGAGCTTACATTTTCTGCAATGACTTCTCCCACAGTCCAAAGATGTGTAGGCTAGGTAGATTAGCTGCAGGAAATTACAGGGATAGGGGAAGGTCTGGGTGGATGCTCTTCTGACGGTCGGTGTGGACTCGATGGGCCAAATGACTTGCTTCCACACTGTAGGGATTCTTTAATGATACTCAGACTTTTGATTTGGCATGTTATTAAATGTCTTCTGAATATCTAAGTACAATATTGAAAGTTTAGTCAAAAAGAAAAATGAGACATGTGTAAGGTGTAGGAAACTGAAATCAGATAAAGCCCTTAAGGAATACAAAGGAAGTAGGACAGAAATTAAACAAGGAATTAAGAAGGTTAAAAGGAGCAATGAAATGTCCCTGGCAAGTGGGATTAAGGTGAACCCCCAAAGTACTTTAGAGATAGATTAACTGCAAGAGAGTAGCTAGGGAAATGATAGGTCCACTCAAGGACAAAGAAAGGAATTTATGCATGAGGCCAAAGAGTGTGAGTGAGGTCCTTAACGAGTACACGCATCAGTATTCACCTAGCAGAAGAACATGGATGACGGTAAGATTACGGAGGGATATATTGATATTCTAGGCTATGTCAATATTAAGAAGGAGGTGGTGATGGGTGGCTTGAAAAACAGTAAGGTAGATAAGTCCCCAGGGCCTGATGGCATCCATTCCAGGATACTGATGGAGCCAAGGGAGGAGATTCCTGGGGCCATGACAGAGATCTTTTTGTCTATTTATTTCTATCTCTTTCTATTTCATAGGTGAGGTCCCAGAAAACTGGAGAATAGCCAATATTGTTCCTTTGTTTAAGAAAAGCAGCAGAGATAATCCAGGAAATTATAGGCTGGTGAGTCCTACATCAGCAGTGGGGAAATTACCGAAGAAGACTCGTAGTGACAGGATTTACTGGCATTTGGAAAAGAATAGACTTATTAAGGATAGTCAGCATGACTTTATGTGGGGGGAGGTCTTGTCTCACAAATTTGACTTCAGTTTTTTGAGGAAGGAACAAAATGATTGATGAGGGTAGGGCAGTAGATGTTGTCTACATTGACTTTACTGAAGCACTTGACAAGGTTCCTCATGGTAGGCTGGTCCAGAAGATTAAGTCTCATAGGATCCATGGTGAGTTGGCAAGTTGAATACAAAATTGGTTTGGCTGTAGAAGACAGAAGGTAGTTGTGGAAGAGTGACCACTGGTGTTCTGCGAGGATCAGTGCTGGGACCTCTGTTGTTTGTGATATATATAAATTATTTAGATGAAAATGTAGGTAGTCTGATTAGTAAGTTTGCAGACGACTTGAAATTGATAAGAGCTGTGAATAGTGAGGACAGTTGTCAAAGGATACAGCAGGATATAGATCAGTTGGAAAGTTGGGCAGAGAAATGACAGGTGGAATGTGAGGTGTGTGAGGTGATGCTTTTTGGAAGGTCAAGTGCAAGAAGAAAGTATGCAGTAGATGGCAGAACCCTTAAGAGCAATGCTATACAGAAGGATCTTGGATGCAAGTCCATAACTCTTGAAAAGTGGCAACACAAGTGCATAAGGTGGTAAAAAGGCATACTGCATACTTGCCTTCATTGATTGGGGCACTGAGTATAAAAGTTGGCATGTTGCAGCTGCATAAAACTTTTGTTTAGCCACATTTGGAGTATAGTGTGCAGTTCTGGTCACCATACTATAGTCCAATAAGTTAGTTAAACACGGTTTCCCTTTGACCAAACCATGTAGTCTCTGCCTGGTTCCCTTGAAGTTATCCAAATGCCCTGTTATGAGGAAGGGCCACCAAAACATTAACTGTGATTTTTCTCCACAGATGCTGCCAGACATGCTGCGCTTTTCCAGCAACTTCTGTTTTTTGCCCTGTTATGTCTTAAATAATAGCTTTTAACATTTTCGCCATGACAGATGTTATAGGGAACGAAAGACAAACTCCCCATTATACCTTTATGGTATGACATGTTAAAGGTACCTACAGAATCAACACTGGACCAGTATTTCTTCTGTGTTAATTCCTTAAATTCAGCTTTGGTCATTGTAGTGAAAACAAAAAGTGCTGGAGATCACAGCGGGTCAGGCAGCATCTGTGGAGAGAGAGCAAGCTTACATAACGAGTCTGGATCACTCTTCATCAGAGCTCATCGGACGCTGCCTGACCCGCTGTGATTTCCAACACTTTTCATTTTCAGTACAGATTCCAGCATCTGCAATAATTTGCTCCGACATTTGGTCATTGCAGAATGCTAAAAGGATTCAACATACAGCAAAGCTAGTAAAAGGAGAAAAAAAAACAGAAATAGCTGCAGAAACTTAGCAGGTCTGGCAGCATCTGTGGAGAGAAAGTGGAGTTAATGTTTCGGGTCAAGTGACCCTTTTTCAGAATTTGTAAAAGGAAAATTGACTTCAATGTGGCAAATATTTAAACCATGCAAAAGGATACAGAACATCTTACTGTTCTTAGTACCCCCACAGTCTTATGCATGCAGGCTTTAGAGAGGGTGCAAAGTCGGTTTGTGAGAATGTTCCAAGGATGGCAGGCTTTAGCTGTGTGGATAGTTTAGCAAAGCTGCAGTTATTCTCCTTAGAGAACAGAAGGTTGGTAGGAAATTTGAGAGAGGAATTCTTCTCTCCTTTGGCAGCCCCTCATGGTTGAGGATGAGTTGATGAGTCTAACCTGAGGGGAGGGGTGTAAGGTTCTGTGGTGGCTGAACAGTCCAATCCTGGAGCTGCCGACTCTGCTCCAAATGGGGCAGGTAGAGTTTGAAGAGGAGGGGACAGGAAGCTATTCCTGTGTGTTCATGGGGATGTTTCATTTGTTTAGGGGGGCTTTTAGAATATCCTTGTAGTATTTCCTCTGCCATCCTAGTGATCACTTACCATTATGGAGCTTGGAGTAAAGCACTTTTTTAGGGAGTCTTATGTTGGGTATGTGGACAATGTGGCTCACCTATTGAAGCTGGTCATGCATTAACCACTGCCTCGATACTGGGAATATTGGCTTAGGAGAGGACACTCATGTTGGTACGCCTATCCTGCCAACAGATTGCAGGATTTTGTGAAGGCAGCGCTGGTGATAACTCTCAGGGATTTGAGGTCCCTGCTGTACATGGCCCATGGTTCTGATGTATGCAGGAGGGTGGGAAGCATGCCTGCTCTGTAGACCATGAGCTTGGTGCTGGGTTTGAACTTCATGGATGCATTGGTGCATTGCAGTCAATGGTGTATGTCTTTGTCAATATTTGCTTGCAATTTAAAAGGAGGCTTCCGAGATATGGCGTCCACATTGCCCAGGAATTTGCCGAGGATTGTAATAGTTAAGTGGCAGTGTCGTGTGGCAACAGTGGGCTGGTAAGGAACATTTGTTTTCTAGATGTTTAATCTGTGGTTAATTCTCTTACATGCCTTGGTGAATGCGTTAGCAATGGTTT